GTGTGTGTGTGTGTGTGTGTGTGTGTGTGTGTGTGTGTGTGTGTGTGTGTGTGTACGTGTACCACCTGAGCTAAATCCCTGGCCCAACAGCTTGCTTTTTAAGAGATGTTATTAACTCGGTATGTTTCAAAGAACGGTGTACTACTATAAGAGGATTAAAGTCAAATTTCTTTGGCACATATTTTCAAGCTTTTATAATATGCTTATGAAAGTACTCAGGGGGGTGAAGATCATTGGTAGAAGGTGTATTTGGCATGTATGAGGCCTGGGCTCAATCTCTAGCATGAACAAGTACTTGAAAATTGTTATTACATGTCTTCCTCGGAATCGTGCAAGGTTCTGACTCTGATCAGCTCAGACCAGCCAAGGATTGCACACCGATCGAGTATCCCAAGCCCGACGGCAAGATCAGTTTTGACCTCTTGTCGTCAGTGGCTCTGAGCGGTACCAACCATGAACATGACCAGCCAGCGCACTTAACCCTGAAGGACGACAGCATCCCGGTAAACAGGAACCTGGCAGTGTATGATGGGCCTGAGCAGCGCTTCTGCCCCGCAGGTGATGGCTTCCTTCCAACCCTAACTGTTCACACAGATATTTGCTTCGAGTGTTTTAGAAATACTACAATACGGTATTTTAAGAAACTTTACCACTGGGCGTGGCGATGCAAGCCTGTCATCCCAGCACTTGGGAAGCTGAGGCAGGAGGATTGCTGAGTTCTAGGCCAGCTTGAACAAGACCCTATCTCAAAAAAAAACAAAACTCATTCTTTCTCCATTGTTTAATTATCGTGACTCCTACATTCAGCTTCAAGGAAACTCATACCTTCACCAGCAAGAGATAAAAGGAAATCTGGGTTAAGACTAGCTCAGGTGACATTTCTCCAGCTTTTCATGTGCACTCTCAGACCACGACAAGAGTTACGGAATACAGAAGGCCTCTGTTCCTGTGACTTTTTGTAGATCTTTTTCTGTCCCAGCAGCTTGGTGTGTACATGTTAGAAAAGGTTATGGCTACACCGAGTTCAAGGAACAGCCCTAAACTTTTATGTTCACCATAAACAGTATCTTTTAGTGCTGAGCTTTCAACTCAAATTATAGCAACTGAAATTAGGTCTCATTATGTGAATAGCTTTTTTTTTTTTTTTTTTTTTTTTTTTTTTATTTTTTTTTTGGTACCGGGGATTGAACTCAGGTCTTTGCGCTTGCAAGGCAGGCCACCAAACCACTGAGCTAAATCCCCGGCCCTCGGTGCATTCTTGAGAGTAGAATATAGGTAAGCTCTCCAAGGGCAATGACTTGGACTCTTTTGACTTAAAAAAAATCATGTTTTCACAGTGTTTGAGGGTAAGAGCTGGATCTTGTTTTTTTTTTTTTCTTCGTTTCTTTAGCTTCGGATACACTGCACTTCCCCTTACACATATACTTATATTACACTAGCAGCAGCAGCAGCACTCAAGGTCTTCATAGTCTATAGGAAAACATCAGCAGACAACTTTATTAAGGCTTCTGAGCCAGGCTTGCTGGTGCGTCCCTGCAATCCCAGTACTGAGAAGGCTGAGGCAGGAGGATCAACACAAGTCAAGGCTGGCCTGAACTACTACACAGCAGGGTCCCACAGGACCCCATCTGAAAAAGCAAAAACAGTGAAGTTTCTGTAACCCTTCATTCTAGGATGTTAATTCCTAACAAGTTTTTTAAAATTTAAAGTTAAGTATTATTACTTTTACTTCACAGGAGTTTATGAATTCGTACCCTTGGAACAAGGTGATGGATTTCGACTACAGATAAATGCCCAGAACTGTGTGCATTGTAAAACATGTGATATTAAGGATCCAAGTCAGAATATCAACTGGGTGGTACCCGAAGGTGGAGGAGGACCTGCTTACAATGGAATGTGAACTGTAACTGATTCTATTTGTAGGCATGTTTCATAATCAGATTCTTTAAAATGCAGATGTGTGGCAAAACAACACATAGCCATCACAAAATAAGTATCAGTAAAATAAAAATTTTATACAATATATAACATGGTCCCATGAAAATTATGAAATATTTCTGTTAAGTAAAGCTTTATAAACCTACTTAGTTCTTCAGAGATTCCAGGCCTTTACATCCAACTTGCTAAATTTAAATCAAGTATAAAAATTAAGACACTCTAGACCAGGGATTGGCATCCGGCTCATCGCTTGTTATGAATAAAGTTTTATTGACACACAGCCACTTCCACTGCTTACACATTGTTACTAAGAAGTTACACTAGAGTTACAATTGCAGAGCTGAGTAGTTGTGACAGACTAGATGGTCCACAAAACCTGAACATTTTACTGTCTGTCCTTTTGCAGCAGTGTCAGCCCCTGGATGAGTGGTCTGTGTATTATGTACAAGTATGTAACACCAGCACAGACTTAGCACAGATACATTACACATTAAGAGAATAATACATAAATACAAACTCAAGCTCACACCTCATTCAACAAGTTATGACTTAGGAATTTAAAACCAGGCTGGACACCAAACTGCAGAAAACAATTACAAAAGATCAACTTCACTGGCATTTTGTAACATTTTTTATTAAGAGGGAGACAGTATTTCTAAGCTGTAAACAATGAACTGAAGTGTCAAAGGAAACGCAGAGATCAGATAGACATAACTCTTACATTGTCTTATTGCCTTAACCTATGCATAATACTCAGGCAAAAGTGAATATTTATGAGGCGAACATTTTTGCATATACAGCCTTCTCTTTATCTTTCTGTGCCTTTATCTTTTGTTTGACTTTCAGCAGTTCTGCCTGGATAGCTGCAGGGGAAGAAAATGCAATGAGTTATTTCTCCAAGTAGCATTAGACAGCTGTAACACTTCATTCCCCCTTGATGAAACTGCTTGTCCAAAATCTGAGTCCCATTGACAAAGTTCTCTTAGAACAATCACAAAAACCATGCAGCATAATTTTAGAAGACTATAAAACCCAATCACAAAGACTTGCCATCACCCTCTCCCTTAGATGGGGCCTTAGTTGCCTCCCTTGTTTGATTTTTTTCCCCCCTTGTGCTACTAGGGATTACGTGATCCCCAGGGCTTCAAACATACTAGGTAAGTGCTCTACCACTAGGATACATCCTTTGTATTTTGAGACAGGTCTCAACTGCTCAGGGTGGCCTCAAACTTGAGATTCTGCTTCGACTTTCTGGGTACCTGAGATTACCAAAGGTATTTTAAAATATTTAACTGTAACAGCACTATTCACATTTGGTTTATTTTTTGTAAAAACAATTTCTTTTTTTTTCTTTTTGGTAACAGGGATTGAACTCAGGACCTTGTACTTGTGAGGTAGGCAGCAGAACCACTGAGCTAAATCCCCAGCCCAAAAACAATTTCTGTCGTAACTTTTCTAACATGTCCAATTGCTAGAATACTAGAGGTGATAGCTACATCAATATATGGGTCTGTGACCATTAATCCTGACATTTCAACTCACTGGAGTAAGATTAGTCAATTACTAGAGCTCTCTCCTGGGTGTGCCATGGAGGCCTTGGGTACCATATATGGTCCCTCACTGGTTCTTCTTCCACACCCTTTCAATATCACGTTTTGTCTTAGAACCTGCTGACCTTGGACTGAATTCCATGAAACATAAGCCTAATTAAATTTATTGTGGGTGTCTGGTAATATGTCTTAGCAGTGGGAAGATGAACACAGGAAGGGTCCCAGAACTTAAATTTATAGTGAATGCTTTTATCTCTTAGTGCTGAGCTTTCCACTAATTCTACGATAATAGCAATTAGGTCTCAAATGGTATGGTGGAACAAACTGAGTGAAAATTACTGCATTCTTGAGAAGAACTAGAATGTATACTGTGAGGGCAGGGACCTTGACTGTCATGTTCACTGCTTTTTGACCAATGCCTTTGGCCCATTAACATATTCTATAATATCTGTTGAATAAATAAATATATCGCAGGGCAGGCGTGGTGGCACACACCTGTAATCCCAGCATTTGGGAGGCTGAGGCAGAAGGATCACGGTGAGTTCGAGACCAGCATGGGCTACATAGTGAATTCCAGGTCAGTCTCAACTACATAGTGAGACCCTGTCTCAAAAAAATATATAAAAACTAAATATCTCGCAGTTAACTGACAGTGGTTTGTGAGGATACATTTTTTTTTTCCCCCCTTCTTCAGTACTGGGGATCGAACTCAGGACCTTGCACTTGGGAGGCAGGCATGGAGCCACTGAGCTAATCCTGTCCCTACGAGGATACATTTTTTATAGAATCAAAAACCTTTATACAAAACAGCCAACTTACCTTTATCTTCTGGTGCTATCTCTTGAGCTTTCTTAAGATCAGTCTTTAATTGGGGAAAAAAAATTCAAGAAAAATTAGACATGATTTACAAAAATAACTATTTTAAAACATTCAGAATAAAATTTACCAATGCTTGCTCATATTCTTTTAATCCTTGCCATCCTTGAGCTCTGCGATACAGTGCTTTGGTATTTGATGGATCTATTTCGAGAGCCTACAAAAAAATAATAAAATCTGTATTAACTATTAGGATGGTTATCAACTTCACTGCCTGTCAGTGCCAAGTCCACCTTTTACTCAATGAATGTGCAGCCAGAGGGCATCAACAACCCTCTCTTCCTGCCTGCCTCGCTGCCACGGCCCAGTGTGAGGATGTGGAGGAGGAAGGTGTCTCTGGGGCAGGCTTCCCCAGTGCTCTTTTCAGCCTGTGCTCAGCAGTCATCTGGCATCTGCTGGACCTCGAGAGCCTCAGGCCCTGCCAACCACACTGGGGATGCTCAAGTCCCTTCCTAAAACACTACAGTATTTGCGTATAACCTGCACATACCCTCTCATATACCCTGCATCATTTCTGGATTACTCATAATGCCCAATACAATATAAGTACTATGTAAATAACTCTTCAATTATAGCTAAATTGTTTAGGGAACAAAAAAAAAGTATTTCAATACGAAAGAAATCTTCAAGGCTGGATACATCTGAAATGGAACCGTAGATACAGAGAGCGGACTATATATATACACTTAGTTGAAATCTAGCTTCTTATGAATAACAGCAGTATGAAATAAACGACACACCAGCTTTTAAAAAAGGGAATAACAGTATCTCCTCAAACATTTTTGAAATACTACATGTGGCTTATCTAACATCTTTTAAAGTCAATATTCAAGATTTTTTCTAAAAAAGGAATATTCATTCCACAAAGGCCAAAAAGAGACCCAGAGTGAAAGCTAATCTTTCCATCTGGTTAACTATTACTTCCTGCTCTGTGCCCCCTTCTAAAACCTAACCGGGCTGGAGCTGTAACTCGGCAATAGGTTCCCTTAGCACACTGAGGCCTTGGGTCCCGCCTCCACCAACACTGCTTGTTTTTTTTTTTCCTTAATCCTATATTCTACCAAATTGGAATTTTTTTCAGTGCTAAGGATCAAGCCCAGGGCCCCATGAATGCTAGGCAAGCACTCTATCCTTCAGCTACAGCCCCAGCCCAGAATCTCATTTAGTTTTATTTGCTCTGAGCATAACTAATCTATATACACAGTGTGCTGAAAACATACAGCACTTGGTTTGGAAATATTTTTAACCAACTACACAATAGGCAAGAGTCCTACTTGGTCTGAGAAAGGTATTGCTTTCTATCTTTATTAGTACACCTGGATGACCCTCCTAAAGAGTCTTTCCTGTGTGCTGCAACAGTACCCATTCTCTAGAAAGGGTATGAACACCCTCAGTAGAAACTATCCCCCTCCTCCTACGCCAAAGCTAAGCTTGAGAACACTGAGGATTTAGCACTGTGCTTGGCATGTTTTATATTAGTACGGTGCTAAATCCTTTAAATACATGCTATATAATAATGTTTTATAACTACTACAAGATAGGTTATTTCCATTTTATAAAGAAATTAGGACTCCATGCTGGGGATTTAGCTCACTGGCACTGTGCCTGCCTGGCAAGCACAAGGTCCTGAGTTCAATCCCTGGTACCATAAAAAAGAAATTAGGACTCTATATTAGAAATTTCCCCAGGAGCACGAAGTCTTATTTTAAAAATTCAGGGGTAGGGCCAGGGATGTAGCTCAGTGGTGCTGCCCGGCAAGCAAGGTCCTGAGTTCCACCCCCGGTACTGAAAAAAAAAAACAAAAAAAGCCAGGGGCAGGCCTCAGTGGTGGAGTGCTGGCCTAGCAAGCACAGGCATCAGAGGAATATCTATCCATTTCCACAGCCCACATTCTCAATCATTCGAAGCTTTGCGTTCCAATGCGAAGCTCACAGCAGGTGCTCTCCAATGTATAAATGAGCTGATGTGTATTTATACATATTCCTTTGAGAAAGAACAAGTATCTTAATGGTTTTTTGTTTGTTTTGTTTTGTTTGAGACAGGGTCTCACTATGTAGTAGAGACTGACCTGGAACTCACTATGTAGCCCAGGCTGTCTCAAACTCAGTGACCCTCCTGCCTCAGCCTCCTGAGTTCTGGATTATAGGCGTGCGCCACCATGCCCGGTCTCTTAATAGTTATTCAATAAAATGGTGTTTAAGGCAAAATGAATGAGCCAGGGAAGAACTGAAGATCCAAAATAGGGACAAGATGACTTAAAACATGTTTTGTCAAGTCTCATTAGGTCCTACGTGGTGAGATACATTAAGGTCTATAAACATGCTTCTGTTTAGTCGTCAAGTCAAGATCCCACAGCGCCAAACAGTTCAGCACCACCAGGATTACCTCCAAACAACTGTCGACTGCTCCCTGCCAATCTGCCATCTTCAGTTTACACGCACCAATATTGAGTACGCAGCTCAAGGCCACAGGCTGCAGCCTGGCATTGTCTGCTTCTTCCAAAACAGCCTTTGCGCCAGCCACATACCTGAGAATACAAGCAGTTAAGCAACAAAAGCACTATACAATGCCACACAAATTATTCTCCTTCAATTACGTCAAAAAGTGTCATTATTTCTAATAGAAAACGCGGATCAAATGCTAATTTTGGGGGCGTCCTTTTTTGAGGCAATAGTCTCCCTTTGTAGTTCAGGCTGGCCCTGAACTCACTACATATCCCAGATTGGCCTCAAACTCAGTGATCCTCCTACCTTAGCCGCCTGAGTGCTGGGATTAAGACATGCACCAGTTCGCCTGCCCTCAAATGCTAACCTTTTTTTTTTTTTACTTTTTTTAAAACAGGGTCTCACTATGTAGTTGAGACTGACCTGGAACTCACTATGTAGCCCAGGCTGGTCTCAAACTCACAGCTATCCTCCTGCCTCAGCCTCCTGAGTGCAGGATTACAGGCGTGCACCACCATGCCCAGCTGTTCAAATGCTAATTTAATACTCAATATCACAACCCATTAAACACTTTTTATTTTTTTTGTGTGTTGAAAACTAAAGTCAGGGACTCAAGGAAAGACCCTGTCCAAAGCACACAATCTACCACTGAGCTACACCCACCCTGTTCTTCTTAAGAAGATATTTTCTCATGTTCAAAGTTTCCTCAAGTGTTCAAATGGCCAATGAGAGTAATTTCCAAATCTAATGATATGGCAGTAGCACCACACTTCCCTTTTCCAAACTCAAAATGAAGAAGAGCTCCTATAAACAGAAGAATGCTAGCTACTAACTGTAGAATGTAAATTAGAAAGACACAGTTCTTCCACAATCAATATAATGAAAGATTCAGAAAAGGATCTTCCAAGATGCCAAAACAAAAGGTTTCTGGGTGCCGGACGTGGTGACACACACCTGTACTACCAGCACTCTGGGAGGCTGGGACAGAAGGATACCAAGTTTGGGCCCTACCTGGGTAACTCAGGCAAGACCATGTCTCAGAAATAAAAAGACGGGTTGTACCTGTGAAAGCCCAGAGTTCAATCCCCAGTACTACCAAAAACTTAAAAAGAAAAAGGCTGTGGAGCTAGGTCTCTGAATCTCACAGCTTCATCTCACTAGTACTCACGAGTACAAAGAGAAAAATGCACTTCTGTAACAGAGACGTCAGGCCGACAGCACTGTGACCAGGCGCCAGAACGGGGCTGGGGATTTAGCTCAGTGGTTCCACCGCCTGCCTTGAAAGCGTAAGGACCGGAGTTCGATCCCCAACCATAAACAACAACAACAACAAAAAAAAACCCACAAGAACCAGCAGACTGCCAGGCCTGCAGAATGATGTACCACAGCAGACACTATGCACAAAGCACACACCCAAATCCCCCCGTCAGAATATTTAACCCCTCACTAATCTGAAGAAAACAGTTCTGTAAAGACACCTAACTTGGACTCCACAAAAATGCAAAGAACGGACACAAGAAGGCAGGAACCACTGATGATCCGAGTCATCACAACCCAGGACAGTACACGACCTAGGTTTAGACCCTGGACTTCAGAACAATACACTGAAACAACTGGGAGATGTGAAAATATGCCACACATCAGGAATTACTGTACCTGTTATGGGGGGGGGGTTGTGGTACTGAGGTGAACCTTGTATTTACTTAGGAAACACATGGGAAATTTCCTTTCAAATAGCTTTGCAACAACAAAAATAGCAAGTTTAAAACTAGTTAACACGGGTAAACATACGAGTGATAATGTTCTATACTTCGAACTTCATTGTATTTTTAAATTTTTCAAATAAGCCAGCACAGTGAAAGAAACGGACCTACTTATTCCATAAATAATTTGTTTTGTTTTTGGTACTAGGGATTGAACTCAGGACTTCCTGCTTGCCAGGCAGGTACTGTGCCACTGAGCTATACCCCAGCTCTCCATAATTAATTTGTTTAAAAAAGAAAAAAAGCAATTCTCACTTTCGGTTTATAATTCAACTTACAAGTTCTTTTAAAATAACTTTATTAGCTGGGGCTAGAGGCACAGCTCAGTGGCAGAGTTTGCCTACCATACAAAGCATTGGGTTTAATCCCGTGCCCCACACAACAATAAAATAAAAATAAAATGCTTCTTACCTTAAAACCTTTGTATATTTTTTAATGGCCACCTCCCAGTTGTGAGACTTGAAAAAAGTATTTCCAATGTTTTTCAAGTCTTCTGCTATTAATAAAATTTTATCTACCTGTACAAAAGAATACAAATAAGCTGGACGTTGGTGAGCAATGTGACGATGCTAGATCCCATCTTTGTGACAGACTGGTACGAGGCAAACAGCTTCTTTCCTGGGAGCCTGCCTGACCTGCAAGTACTCACATCTTTGAAATCCACGTCTGCGTCCTCAGGGAAATCCGGATGGCTGTCTCCAGAGCCATCTTTCGGGAATATTCCCCAGTCATCACCTTCTTTCAGTTCTCCACATTCTGCAATAACGCACAACTGTAAAAATAATACAATATTGGAGAAGGGCGCTACCAGGTTAACGAGATTTAAAGGCTGAGTGTAGAGAGCGCATGTCACTGTGAAGAGCAATGTGTCAGTGTGTTCCCCAGGAGGAAGAATGACACCTCCCAGGACGGACCCAATCTAACCCCCAAGAGTGACTTAATGTGAAAGCTGTGTGCAACCCCGGTATCTACTCAAACAGCCCGATATGTGCGAAGTGATAAAACCTGAACCAGTGCCGCAAACCCCCAGTTACAATGGCATAAAAGACAGAGCGCAGAAGACCAGCTCGTCCCACTCGGTGACCGAGACAGCCCGACACTGCCGGACGAGACATCGGACGCCTGCCCGGAGCGGACCCCTGGATCAACATGGAGGCAACCGGATCGAACATCGCAATCACCAGGAAAGGAGAAACAAAGTCGCGCTCCTCGGACGTGTGCAGGTACAGGGAGTGGCAGCTGGCGGGTGTGAATGAACATGTTTGATGTGTGACACACATATAAAAATATATAAAATCTAGTTGGCAACTACTACTGTCTCGACCTCGTTAGTGCACACTCCTGCTCGCGACACTGAGTTAAAAAGCTGACCAGCTGCAAACACACTACGCACGCCACACTCCCCTCTGAGGCTCAGCTATCTGTGCCCGCGGTGCACATCCAGCCTCCATGCCAGGGCACGGCTCACAAGTATCTCCCTGCTACCCGGGAGCTCAAAGACACTTCCTCGCCTCTAGCTGGGGCATCAGTCTTCATTTACCACCATTCCTTTCATAAACAAAGTGCCCGCCTACATCCACAGGTAAGAGATGCAATGCAGGGTGGGCAGCACTACGGCCATTCTGATCACAGACATTAGAAAACACGAATCCTTGGACATAACCAAGCCCTCACCTGTCAGCAATTTATACAGGCTGAGGAAACAGGCCAAGAAAAGTTAAGTAACAGGGACGAAGCTCCAGTTCAACAGCACAGTGTGAACAAGTGACCAGGTTCGCTGTCCTCTTTCCACTGTGTCGCTACATACTGACTCAACGGTTTTGCAGGAATAGGAAAATTTTGTTTTGTTTTTTGAGACCGGGTCTTGTTTTGTCTTGAATTCACTATGGTTGGTCTTGAACTCACAACATACCCCAAGCTAGCCTTGAACTCTCGGTCGTCCTCCTGCCTCAGCCTCCCAAGAGCAGGTATAGAAAAATTTAAGCAATCTAGTAAAGATCATCAACAATGAAGTTGACGTAGGTGTAAAATCTTTAAAACTGCACTAATTTTCTAAAAGGCATATTTTAGCTGGGCGTGGTGGTGCACACTTGTAACCCCAGCACTTGGGAGGCTGAAACAGGAGAATGGCCAGAAAACCCATCGCAAAAAAACAAAATAAAAAAGCATAGTTCACTAAAGGTTTGGTTGCCAGCTGATAGGCCTCTAGGAAGTGACTGTAATAAGGACTCTAACTTCCATCGAAAGGATTAATTTGAAGATAAAGTCATCAGCTGGATGGGGCTAGAAGATGGGGCCTAAACAGATGAGGCAGGCCACTGGGGTGTGGGCTGGGCTTAGAACCCATACAGCCAGCTGACCAAAGACTGAAGCCTGAAACTGTGAACTGCAGCCTTTCCTGCTGTAAGACAACTTTCTCAAGTAGCAGGAGAATGCTGACAACACACCACCCTAACATCTTCCAGCTCTGCCTGAGAATGACCGTCTCATCCTTTTTATCTACGTTTCTTTGAGACAATAAATAAAATGAGAAAATTTCACTTTTTACTTACTTTGGCAGGTTTTTCACCATTTACTTCTACATTTTCCAGTATCCTCACCACACCTATTCCTTTAATTACTTGGCCAAACACCACATGTTTGCCATCCAGATGGGGGGTTGGAACTGTGGTGATGAAGAACTGGGAACCATTCGTGTTGTGGCCTGCATTTGCCATGCTCAATAAACCCTCGCGATCATGCTGTAGGAATAAAAACCACGTGAGCACTGAGGTCAGAGGTTTACTCTGAGTTGTTCTTTTATTCATGTAAAACTAGGATCACCTATACTACCCTCTACATCAAATTTTACTCTATTTAAAAATTTACAGAGCTGGGCATGGTGGCGCATGCCCGTAATCCCAGCACTAGGGAGGATGACGCAGGATGATCGCTGTGAGTTCAAGACCAGCCTGGGCTACATAGTGAGTTCCAGGTCAGTCTCAACTACATAGTGAGACCGTCTCAAAAAAATCAAAATTAAAAAAGGGGGGACAGGGATTTAGCTCAGCGGTTCGGTGGCCTGCCTTGCAAGCCCAAGGACCTGAGTTCAATCCCCGGTACCAAAAAAAGAAAAAGAAAAGAAAAGAAATAAATAAATAAATAAAAATTTACACATTACCATTTACTTTATTTTATTTTATAGGAATTGTAATCTTTGTTTTGTTTTTTTGAGACAGGTTCTCAATGTATAGTCCAAGCTAATCATGAACTCATTACGTAGCCCAGGCTGGCCTCAAACTTGCAGCAATCCTCCTGCCTCAGCCTTCCAAATGCTGTGATTACAGGCATGTGCCACCATACCTGGCATGAACTGTAACCTTTAATAAATGAAACAGAATACTTAACCACTTTTTAAACTTTAAGACAGGCATAAAAATTAAGACCGATAACAAAAAATAGTAGTAAGGGGATTTATTTCTAAACTGGCCATCTTATGTTTCTGTTCCCATCTTTCAGATGCAGAAGCTATATTAAGGAAATCTAGTAATGTGCTTTGCTCTTTCTATGGTGAAACAGTCTTTTCTAGGAAGACCATAGCCTTCCCAAAACCAGAAACAGGCGTCTGATTCTGCCTTTACACGTCAGTAAACTGCTAACAGCCAGGGGACAGTGCATTTAGACAAGTCATTCAGGTAGTGCATTCCTAATCACAAATGAATCAAAATCCTAGGGCTGTTATCCAGATCAATTAGCTCTGAGAAAGTGCGAAAGAAACAGCGCTGAAATAAGAAAACTAGCTTGGTGTCACCCTGCTCGAAGATTCCAGGAGACCTGGTCTCTTCAGCCTCCCACCAGATCACTCAGGTCTTCTCCATGTGGGTGCACACACTCTAACTTTCCCACCTAAAGTGCCTCTTAGCCACTAATCTACAGGAAATTCAACTGTCGGGCCCACTGGGTTCGTGCCACCCAAGAACCATGTCTCGATTCTATAGGCCTGCTGTCTTCTCACCAATTTGATTATCAGGTAATTGCAGCTTTCGTTCTTGCAGTAGCCTTCCCTGTTGCTTTCCCAAATAGTAAATGGATATCAACTTTCTCTCCTCAGCTTCTTATTGCCTTTATCTTTCTTTCCTCATCCATATCACTTCTTCAATTGTGTTTCTGTTTTGTTTTGTCTGTTTGTTTTGTTTTTTGAGGTAGAGACTTCCTGTGTAATTCAGGCTGGCCCTGAACTATGTAGCTCAGGCTGGCCTCAAACTCTCAGTGATCCTCCTGCCTCAACATCCCAAGTGCTGGGATTATAGGCACGTACCACCACACCCAGCTCACTTCTCCAATTTTGAATCAGTATTTTAGTTTTGCCTCTCCAAATTACTGCTACCTTCCAAGGCCCAGCCTGCTCAACCTAAGTACCCATTATGCCTCAGGCTCCCTTTGTAATCAGGTCTATAGAAACAACTTCTTTCTCCTACAGTGCAGTATACATAAAAAGTATGTATCACAGGTTGACTATTCCTAATCAGAAAATCTAAAACCTTATAGGCTGCAAAGTGTGGAACTTCAGAGGAACGGCACCCAAAACTTTTCATATTTCAGATTTTCAGGTTAGGGATGCTCAACCAGGAGTCCATACAAATATTACAAATCCAAATAATGATCTGAAACATTTTGTGCCCCAGGCATTTCATATAAGTGATACTCAACCTGTATCAAGTTATACAAGCAAGTATTCTCATCACTTTAGCATTTATTTGCATGCTGTTATTCTCCAGCTGTCCCAAGTACTTTAACCTTGTCTTGGAGGTGAGATTATAAATTCTTTGACATCTTTCATTTCATGAAAGATGTATCATTTTTATAAGCCTTACTGGGCCAGGGACAGAACTGGAAATACAGCTGCAGGTAACAAATACAAATTAAAGTCTGATGGCATTTTCTTTCAAATTATCATCATTACTTTGTTCACATTCCTCATCTCAAAGATAACACTTTCCTTTTGTACTTAGGTGTCCATTTCCAAACTTCAATGGTGCAGTATAGCCTGATTAGATTTTGGGACAATGAAGGTAAGAAGGCACAGGTACTACTAATGTCCTCTGCAGCTTAGACATTAACATAACTGCTAGTTGGCAAACACCCTGACATCCTTGGCTATTAGCAATGTTTTGTTGCTCTTCAAATTCAAGGATATAGATGCACAAGTTACTATCTTTTATGACAATGAAAACAATTTTTCTGGACGTAATTTTGCCAGATGGTTGCCACACTTAAAAACCTCACTGGCTTATAGTGAACTCACATGCATGAAACATATAAAAACAGGAGCAAAATGAAATAACTATGGTATTTTTGCTGAATATAAATCATTACTGGATGAAAACTTTCTATACTAAAGACACATACTGGACTGAGAAAGTAGCTTGGTGGTGGAGCACTTGCCTACAATGCACAAGTAGCTAATACACACACGCGCACACACACAATACATATTTACAAATATGCTTCTTTCTGTAAAGAAAGAATTCAAATACCGGAGGCACATTTGAGTGTCTTCCTCCAACGAGTACTTTGCAAGCACATAAGCTTACATTAATAAAAGCATGCATTTTATTTACCTTATAATAAAAGTTTTCATCTTCAAATTTTTCACCATAAATACTTTCTCCACCAGTTCCATTCTGATTTGAGAAGTCTCCACCCTGAATCATAAATTTCTTAATAACTGCAAAGAAGGAAAATGACCGTTAGTAACTAAGACATGGGCAACTTTTGGCAACATTGACTAGTGAACATGTAAACATGTAAGACAACTTCCATAGAGCACGGCTTTGGTCCTGGCTCTCTTCCCTCTCTCGATCCACCTCAGCAATTCTTATACTTTGAAAGGTTTTCCACAATCTGAGTCCAACCTACTTTTTGCTGCCTGGTCTCTCACTAGCACTCAAAGAATTAGTTTATATGGCATCACTCAGATAAAACTATCACTGAATCTGAAAGATGCATCTCTTAAGTTTTCTCCCACAGTTATCCTGACTCTGCCTTCATTTTACAACATACAATGACTTGTTTCCTTCAACAAACAAAAACAAAGTATACAGTCACTCAACAATGTCCAGTGAAAAAAGACCACCTATTCCCAGATCCTTACAATTCTAACGGAAATATAAGGGTTACCAAAATCAGAGATCCCTGGCACTCTTGAGACTCTGGATTTGGCTGTAATAAGGACACACAGACAGAGAAAGGGAAAAGACACAGGCTGTCCTTAGAGGAATCAACGTGGAGAAGTTATGCTTTCTCGCTCCCATGCAAACTCACAGAACACACTTTCCTCCCAGCCACAAGATGTAGAAATGCATGATTCCCACAACAGCCAATTACAGAACAGCACCCAAACACAGTATTTATTGGAACCTTATCACTTAGGCATCTTCTGCTAGGATGTTCTAAATTCCAGACTCTCAAGAAGAAAGCAAGATGTTCAGCATAAATGACATGTTTGTACGAAAGTCTAGACACAGTAAATCACCCCTATGATTTAGGAGAGGTGCAAGTACCAAGTTTCCAAACTCCTGCCAACTTGGAAGGAAACCTTTAGAAGGATAGCAGTCTCAGGCCTGCTATGCTATTTTCCACATACTTTTTTTTTTTTTTGGTACCAGGGATCAAACTCAGGACCTTGCACTTGTGAGGCAGGCAGTGGCACCATTGAGCTAAATCCCCAGCCCTTCACATACATTTTTTTTTTAGCATATTTTGATATTTTCTTAAACATTAGGTAAATCAATAGTTTAAGACATTTTTAAGTATCAATGATTTTCTTAATGAGTCAAGTTTTTTAAAAAGTGGCTGGGCATGGTAGCGCATGCCTGTAATCCCAGCACCTGGGAGGCTGAGGCAGGATTGCTGTGAGTTCGAGACCAGCCTGGTCTACATAGTAAGTTCCACATCAGTCTGTCTATTCATAAAATTACTGAGTGTTTAATAACTATACTAGATACTGAAAACAAAATGATAAGAACATATAGCTCCTGGGGCCAGGGATTTAGCTCAGTAGTTCCACCACCTGCCTCGAATGAGCAAGGAGCGGAGTTTGATTTCTGGTACCAAACAACAACAACAACAAAAGAACATACAGCTCCTGAATTTACAGAGAATCATAAAGTAATCACTAAACAAAAATGTGATTACAAAATGAGAAATAACAGATTTTAATCATATATTAAGATCCAAGTCACTGAATTATCCAATCTGGTACCTCCTTGAGCAATCTTGCCTAAGAAACAATTTTTTTAAAAACATTTTCTTTTTTTTTTTTTTTTTGTAATTTTTTTTTTTTTTTTTTTTTTGGTACCAGGGATTGAACTCAGGACCTTGCGCTTGCAAGGGAGGCAGCAGAACCAATGAACTAAATCCCTGGCCCTAGACATAACTTTGCTCACCATCAAACTACCTAAGATCAGCTCGTGGCTTCACTGTGCCTTTCTCAATCAAATCTATTTGAAATGAAGGAAGTTAAGAAGCCAGGGAAGCTAGTGTCGGCTATATCTCCATAGATAAACCTTAATACGAGCTCATAATTAATTCCAGCTCTCACAAACCAACCTTTATGACATGAAGCTACTATCTCAGATGTCAAAGCATTTTCTTGGACAGTAATGGTATTTTTCTTTTGTCTTTTGGTACTGGTATTGAGGACTAGACCCAAGGCTGTTACACTGTGCTACATCACCAGACCTTTTTTTTGTTTTCATTTTGAGACAGGGTCTCACTAAGTCACTAAATTGCCCAGGATGGGCTCAAAATTAGGATCCTTAACCTCAACCTCAGCTTCTCAGAATGCTGGGATTACTGGTATGTACCACCACACTTAGCTCAACAGTACTATTTAAACTTTACCCCTACTTAGTATTTTCTTCCTTAACACCTAAAGAACAGGATTTTACTATCTGTATGAAGACAACCAAATTCAGAAATTTTTACACATACTTCGATGGAAAGGACATCCTTTGAAATGAAGAGGTTTCCCAGTCGTGAGTCCAATGCCTTTTTCTCCTGTACATAATGCACGAAAGTTTTCTGCAGTTTTGGGTACAATATCTGCAAATAATTCTAAAACAATTCGACCAACTAAAAGAAAAGAAAATCTTGTCAGTATGCAAAACAAACCAGCAAATACGCAAATGACAAAAAGATAGTTGGTAAAATTATGCTAACAGATCACTCACAAATTACTAAATTCTATTTACCTTTTCTTGGCAATTTTAATCACAACGTTCAACAACAGACTTCTTAACTTATGGCCGCCACCACCCAGCCTCTGAAGTGTATCTTTACACTAACATCTCCTCAGCGCCTGGTACAGTCAGGATCTGTATCCTTCTACTCTCTCATACCATTCAACATCTTCAGACTTGACTTAGTGAGATGATGTGGTATACGCCTTGCCATGTCCGGATTATTTCACATAGTGTCCCCTAGCTTCATTTGCGTTGTCACAAATAACAAGATTTCAAGATTTTTTGAAATTCTGTGTACACACCAGTCACCTATTCATACACTGAGAGGCATTACCTTTGCTATGGTGAATGATGATGCAATGAATGTGCTAGTGCAGGAATCTCTTCAACACACAAATTTCATCTCCCTTGGATACAAACCTAGCACTGGGACTTCTGGATGTTATGGTCACTTTTTTCTGTCATTTTCTGTCAACTGTAGTCTAAGTGTTAGGTACATTGATGAATTTGAAACATCACAGGAAAGATTGCAATTACAGCGCAGATAAGCACTATGTCAGAACACCATTGAGTACAAACGGTTTTAAATCCTGAACAGCATCACAAGTGCAGCACTCAGAATTTCCAGTCACCAAGTACCAAGAGAAGACTATTAAATACTCTTGGGGGAGTCAAGTTGGCCAAATTTTATATACATCTGTAGCCTGTTTTGTGAAAACAACTTTGGAAAAAAAAAAACGACAAAAAGTTCTTCTATCCAATTCCTACGCCAGGTGAAAACAAAAGTAGCCTTAGCTCCAAAATAAAATGCAAGCCAGCGCGTGCATCTGAACACAACGCCGGCCGCAGACTGAACCTGCGGGAGAACAAGCGCGATTCCCTGAGAGACGCGCCTGGCCTAAGGCACAGGGGAGCGCGGGCCGCAGGAACCCAGGCCCCACGCAGCCGCTGCGCCCAATCAAGGCCCCGGATTTCGGAGGACCTCAGGGCAAGAGCGGGAAGGCTCGGGCCCACTGCCTCGCGCACGCGGCCGGCTTTCTGGAACCTT